TATACATTGTCCTTCACGCATTCTCCTATCATTTAGTCAGCTCAGCTTGCCAGTTGCCCCTTCCGATCAATTGGATCCATCAAATCAACAGGGGCTAAAACCCTGTCAAAGCAGGCCCGGCCCTTTCCATCCTTATAGGCTATTCAGTATCAGGCTGCAAATGTGGGCTCGTACGTCGTCGTTAGGCAGCCACCAACGTCAGTCAACGACTATCCAGCAGACCAACAAACTTCGTTTGCAAATAGACCGCTTGTGTGGGACTTAATCGAATTGGTATAAACCGATATCCTTTGAATTTTCGATTACTGTATGCTAACGTTAATGCTAATGTTCCCCTTAAATCCATTTTTGACAGGCGAACTCGACGAAGCAATTTATATCATAGCTTTTTTTTTTTCTAAGTGATGGTATCGTCCATATCATCGACAGTGTACGTTGTGAACATTCTCCGGTAAAAAGCTTACTTAATTTTTTGCTGTTTTCTGTATCGCCTTTCGTTTTTTAGTTCTTCTTTCTATATATATATGTATATATATATATATATATATATATGTATGCAGTTTTCATCGGACGGAACGTCTCGCTCCACTCTTACCTGTCCGGCGCGAAAATAGCTGGTTTGGCTGAACGTAATTTTATAGGCACTTGGCGCACGTTCAAGTTTATTTTTCAGCTAGGTGTCTGCATTGTATGAATGGATTGCTGACACGCTTCCTACACTCCCTCTGGTGAACGAGTTTACACACATGTACTAAGAAGGGGGTGTCTACTTTTTATTTACACAGTAGAAAATAACGGCACGGTACACTCTGGCAAAAATAGACCAAAAAGTGTCAAACGAAATTTTTAAACTTTCCGACCACACGATATAATTATAAAAAAAATGTGAATTTTAAGTGTTGCTGGAATTAATATGAATGAACAATTTTGGAACGAAACAGAAGATGAGAACAGACACAGCAGTGGAAGATCAGACAGAACCGTGTCAAATGCTTATGATAGCTAATAAGGAGTAACGCGTTTCGAAATGGCCCTAACGAGCTTAGCTTATCTAGGTGTCGTAATAGAATCCTTTAAGCTTCATAGTTGGTTAAAAATGAACACCTTATAGCAACAACAGGTCTTCTGGCAGTCGCGAAGATGACGCTAGCTGCCTTCATGCGAGAAACTTTTTGATGGCCTATGTTGCGAATGCGCGAAACCTTTCATTGTTTGATTGCTTCCGTAATATACGAACTGCGATCAACAGCTAAAGTTTTGCTGCTTCCTTCGGTGATGTTCTATCTTATTTTCAGGAATAGATCAATACAACAGCATAATGCCCTTACGTGGCTCACCATAAGCTAACCAGTCAACTGATCGAACGAGTAGCAACAGAGTGTTTCAAGGAGTCATCTATTTGAAAGCTGAGAAAAGAGACAAGTCTTAACCTGCAAACTAGGACAGCGTGCCATGGCACATCAGCATAGCTTAGGTTACCGAACCAGCGTGAAGAGCACGTCCCGTAGTCTTTCTGCCGTTAAAATGAATTTACGACGCCCCATCGCTGAGCTCTTCGAAAGCACAGGTCGGCCGCGTGATCCACATCAAGTGGATCGTAATGATGATAACGTTACATTATATTTGCAATAAACAAAACCTTGAGTGAACCTTAAATAACTACGTTACAGCCATTGGAACCGACTGTTAGCAATTGAGTAGACTAACAACTGTCTACTCAGTTACTTATAATGAACTCTAGAATGGCGGAGGGTTGGGATTGCAAGTGACACACAGCTCTCAAAGACCGCAAACATTCGTTCTGCCAATGGAGCACGAACTTCATTCCGCAATAACAATCCAACAGCTGCCGGTAAAAATCAACGTCCGCCTACTCGCTTCTTGTCAGTTCGCCATCTAGATTGCTAACGTAATCTAGCTCTAAGAAAACAGCTTACACAATACACATAGGCCAGATCACGGTATCCTCCTTTTCCATCAGAGTGACTCGTTGGTCCATTTTGTCTTGGAAGAGATGACAAATACGCTATCGCTGAGGATCACCACATTGAACACTGGACTATTGTGATAGCTGGTCTTCTTTTTTCTCATTAACATGATGACTACGTACTGAAAGCTGCTAGGAGAACGCTTGGTCTACAATGATACGGCTTGCACGCGGACACCAACGAGTTTATCGCTGCTGTCCCAAGGCTATTTAGATGACAGTGACGGGTTTGTCAGTACAGTTTCTTTCTTATCCTTCTCTCGTGCCTAATGCTTTTTGGCATTTCGACCATTTACCCTTTATCAAAAACGGACGCCGTACGGAGGCCGTTGATCGACACTATTAACGTTGTCTGGTGGCGTCAACAGCGCCGGCGGCGAGGGTTCTTGTCGCCGCAGTGGCCACAGGTTATTGACCTCACGCTATTCAGCCGGCTCGCGAGCACAGCAAACGAGTCCACAATACTGTCGTTGCGTCGACCCGCAGCAGGACGAGCACACTCCACTACTACCCCAGTCTGTTTCACTTGGCCTCCACATCGCCACCGCAGAGGCTATGGATATCAGTTCAGGACATCAATAGCGTAAGAATCTTTTCAACGCACTGTGTCTGTTGCACGTCGTTGGGCCGTTGCTGCATGGCAGATAAAGGCAGCGCAACTAGTATTATGTACGCCTGCGCCTGTACGACTTTTCTTTTCGCTAATTCTTATTGCAGGAGATTTCGCTTTTCGATTGGTTCGAAACGGATTACATCGTATGACTGTCATGTTTGTTCGCATTTGATGAGATGCTTCAACTCGGCGGACCGTGAAACGAGCGGCCGGGCCTATCATTGTTGATGCGCACACAACAATGTACCATCTACTTAGCCAAGCACAGGTTCGTTTCCTGACACGGTACCGAATTGCGACTCGCAACTTTTAGGTAAGATTGACCGCGTCATCCTGTGATGCAGACTCAAAATATAGGTTAGCCTGACCGAGTGCTAGCCTGTCTGTTTTTCTCGCTTGCCGATATGTGCTACTCAGGACTCAAGCAAGCAAGAACATATTTGCTGTATGTATGTACACCAGCACAAAAGCAATCTGCACATAGACACCGTCGACAAGACAGAACCCCAAAGAACGTGAATATTGTCTGGCATCGACCTGCAACATAAAGTGGCACCTCTTGATATACATTGCACTGGCCAGAGTAGTATTTCTCTTTGGCATAAGCAAGCAAGCGACCGACCGGTCCCTTCGATCAACCAACTCCTTACCCTCCACTCTCCCCCCACAAAAATATACCCCGGTCTGGTGAGATATACCAGCGTGACTCAAAATGAGCATTTCATGCCAGACTAGTGCAACCTGCGGAAATGTATCATTCTACTGTAATACTTCATTTCTGGGTTTAACCTGCCCTAAATCCGCCATCTCACTCCCGAGGCTTGTCAAGACTAGATTTGACTGGCCCTAACGGAGCGAACCTCTTCACGAGCAACTAATTTTTGCCTGCCATTTACAAAGTTGGTACATCCAAATAAACGCACTCACACCTATGATCCAATAGCAATAGGCTACGGGCTTTATAACGATATTATACAGATAGTGTCCTTGGTTCGCTCACGATGAGCGCACAACAATAGACTACATTAGACTAGGTTAAATAGACAGGAGCACATCGACACGGCATGTACTGTATTATGCATGCGTGGTGTGAAAAGCAGGAGCAGTCATAATCACTCCTAAACGATTTTTTCCCAGGAATGAGAATAACTGCAATGTTAGTAGCAGTAGCTTGTACTTTATACGCTGTCTCATTCCACTCCATGTGCCACTCCTAAAGATGAAACGTCTCAAAGCAACGTACATCAGAAGTGACGCGCAGACAAAAAGGGTCGAATATGAAAAGCCGGCAGCCTCGAATGTGCGTTGTGCCTCAGCCTATGAAACGGGGCTTGGCCGCCATATGAGTTTGACCAAGTGAGCGCTGTATGCGACGCCTTTACCGTTCCAACACTGCTCTATGCATTGGCTCCGCCGGCAAAACCAAGGCTATAGCAAGTAACAGAGGGTGCCAAGACACAAGGTGGGGCAGCGCGACCGAATGAATGGCAGGACGCAGGAGCGGGAAGGCATCACAGAGCACATGTCAGATAGGCAGTCAGGCATGTGGGTAGACGAATGGACACTCGCTCGGTCGCTTCTACTACTCACAGCTTATTGCACAGGCATGTAGAGCCACCCACGGATCCTGTCTGCGACACACTGAACAAGCAATGACAAGGGGGTGTTCGTCTACGAGAATGGAGCAGCTCATCTGACAATAGAGATATGGCCGCAGCCGACAGCAGGAGTGGTAACCAATAGTCAGCCGACCAGTCCACGGAAACCTGCGGTAGGTAAATAATGAGAAGAAAACAGAGAGAACGCGCAAGTGTCTTGTCCACGTTACGTGTAGTAATACTGCACGTTGCCAACGTCGTTTGTTGACCATAACGCTACAGTGGTTAATATGTAGATTGATGTTGAGCTATTATAGTAGTTTGTTGGTGAGAAGGTTGGGTGCTATCAACTAAACAATTCAACCTGATAGTCCTTCGTCTGGGAATAATACCGAAGCAAGTCTAAACAAGATACAACGAGAAAATTAACTTGTGAGATGCACGAGCGTCGTTCGCTGATATAAAATGCATCAATACAGCCGAATCTGTTATGGGTATTTGGTATATGGCTACATGCTGTGTTTAAAATATACACACCAGTATTGATCCAGCTTGTCACTTGCACATTTTGTACGGAACATACCGTTCTTGATAGGAACTAAAGAAACGACTGGGTGCACTCGATGACAGCTTTGGCGAGCTGGGCTGGGCTCACAAAGCTTGCTGAGTTTATGAGCTACACACCGAGCTTACATGGAGCACACCATTATCCGAGCCTCCCTTTACTTCCCACACACGATCCTTCACGGCCCCACGGACCCGACCCATTTCATGGGCTGAGCAGCGTATAACGAGGACTTACCTTTTCTGGTCGATTCGATTCCTCCTCGTCTATGCTATTCCTTCGATGGAATGTTCTTTGACCTTATTTTCAGTATTTAGCAGCCAGTGTTAACCGGTGCTTGACCGGTACTCTGCCGAACACCGTCTAAGCGCACGGAAACACGAGATAGCACGATAGCTCGACTATTTCAATGGGCCTATACAATTATCAGCACTGCGGTAAATCGAGTTGGTAGCCGACGGGAGACGGGTGACAGACGGTTGTTCTGTCAACGTGACACTTTCCGCTACTCATCCGCATACTGGCGTAGCTGGCGTTCCCGCCACGCGCACTCCTAGGGTGCCGCTGTAGCAAGTCGTGCTAAAAGCGCGTATAATGTTATCCGGGCGATAAAGCACTACACACAATGACGTTGGGTGCTTCCTGAATCGCCAGTGGGACACGCACCACTGTTCGAGCTCTTCCTGACGTTGCCAAGATCGCAGTCGCGCGGCAGTCGTCCACCAAACGTCGGAATTGGTCAGCGACGTAAGCAAACGGCGGCGGCAGCGGCGAAGATGACGACAATAACACTAACTCCCTAAATAATGGCTCGTAGCTAACGTGATCTTGGTAGAATAAGCACCGTATACATTCCACGAAAGCAAAAAACGCAAAGCAGAATACACATTGCACACAAGAAAAACTTCTTTTACCTTTACAGCATCTACTAACAACGAGTAGCGGTATGTAATAATGGAATTATTTTTCGCGTGGCTGAATCTTACCCTCGCCTACGCCAACTGTAGCAGCAGCCTCAGGATTTGGGTGTTTCAGTAGTTAACTATACGTATATAAGTACGTATGTATATAGCGAAAGAACGCTGGCTCACCAAACAGCTCGTACGACGTATTCCGTAATCGAGGTGGTCATCGACAATACTGTGCGTTTTGCTGCGGCACAAAACGAACTGCAACTTAATATTTCCAACAACAGCGTAACTTTTTCGTATTGCGAGACGTCATATCCGAGTCTCTTTTTGTTTCAAGCTTGGTTCGATATTCGCAGGCTGATGTAGTTGGCCACCCATAGCTTGTTACTGCTACAGGTTTCTTCAGGCTTCAGCCGCTCAAATTGCGGCGGAATCCGCAACGTCGAAGCAAGAAGAGCTGGACTATCTTCGACAGCTTCGTTCTATCGCATTTCGTTTCTCTGGTCGCTTGTTCAGCCAAACGCTCTGCAGCGCCGTCCGCTACTCATAGAGCGGCTCTAGCAGCAACATCACCAGTCAGCCAGTAGCTTGCCACAGCAGCAGCAAAAATATGGTGGCGCTCGTGTCGACCAATCCTCTTCGGCAAAATGGCCTCCCTCCCCGCGGAGAGCTCAGCTAACGAGCGGAACTAGCCGGGCTGCTCCGACAACAATTGCCTGAGATTCGGTCTAAACTGGGCTTATCAACTGACAGAAGACGGATGTTAATGATTGAGTAATTATAGCGAGATTCTTTGCTAGCATGTTAGCGAAGTCTAACGACGATGGCTAGGCCTAGATAACAGGCTGATCAATAAAGTGTTTTAGAAAAATTGCAATTTTTCCGTAATTTAGTTATGTGGAAAGTGCGGAACGAAGATGTTCATCACTGGTTGCCTGCTGTGTTTGTATGTGTATGTATATGTTGTGTGATGGTGGTTTGTTAATATTGTGTGTGCCGTGGCCGCTGTGATGGCACTGTATGGATGGTAGAGTGAGTGTGGTGCGTGGTAGCAGGAGCGGGTTTAGGAGACGTGAGGACGGTGTCCAAAAGGTGCTGAAGGGACGCCGCCGGAATGGAGTTGAAGCTGCACTCCCCTTCGGGGGCTGAACCCGCCGTGTTCCAATGGCCCCTCAAGGTATGAGACCACACGTCTAAGCCTAACCACTGTGCCAGCCTCTGTCCACACAGTTCCACACAGTATCGAATCATATAGGATAAGATAGTGCTCAGCTGGGCTAGAGGTCCGCCACTGACCCCCCTGTCATCTGAACAGCTTCCATCAAGGGGTATATGCATTTAGGTCTACAGGTGTTAGTATAGTATAACGTACGGCAAAAACAAGCCAACCCGTTCAACTGCCTGTGTTTCCATTGGCACAGTACCAACATCCATACAACACAAGTCAGCTGAAGGCGGCTCTAGCTTATTGGGTTACTGCGTTGTTCGCTAAAATGACAGATCCATCCGGGAACGCAACGAAAACAGTGGCGCTTTTTACTTGAACCGATCTGGATTGCTCATTGGATTTTGGTTTTAAAGCAGATATTTGTAGAACGTCTTCTATGTGAGCGCGTTGTAACTCGTAGTGGTTAGGACCCCCTAATATTAGAATTTACCCCGCTCTGCCGCAACGGTGTGTTATGAAGCAGATTTTCGAGTCTGTTTCCGACGGCCGGGAGTCATTGACCGCTCTTCCGGAGCAGTTCACCTGGAAGGTGAATACCCCTGGTGAACTGTATTGCTACCAATGTTCTCTGCAAACTTGCTTTTGCTAGGCGTATTTAATTCGCAGATAAGAATTATGTCTATAACGGCATAACAGTTGCACTATTCGACAGCGCTCGCTAATGGTGGAAAGGGATAGTCTTCCGGCTTCGTGTTGTCTAGTACCAAGTGTCAATAGTCATAGTCAGACACGTTGCGCGCGCCAATTTTTGACGTCGAATCATTCTCTAGCTTGATTGGCCGCAAGTGCGTGTATACATGGCTCTCAGGCAAAGTCAAAACGTCTGGAAGTAGTTTGACCCAGAAATCTGTGTGGGAGTGCGTAATAAAAATTACCGACAAATAGATATAACTGAAAGGCTTGGTAAAATGTAGTAATAATTACATATATCATACTTCGTGGAGTTCTTGCGTTATGTTAGTGACTTTCTAATAGTTGTATTGGGGATTCGGCCCAGGATGAGTTGAACCTGCATTGTATTATACAGTGCTACTTTGAGTAGCATATAGTAAAAGTTGAACTTAAAAACTATGGTGTCATCACCTAATAACCTTGTAGCTGAAAAATTAATTCTTTTTCTTCTGACACTGTCGTGTCGCTATGTTTCTAGTATCATTTGGTAGATAGATTATTTATGCGATCTGATTTCTCGTTAGGCGGTTCTGTTTTTTTATGTAAATGATATACAAGTAGGTACGCTGTAATTCAAATTGTCTTACTCAATTCTTTCTTTTAAATCTATATCATCTCAAGGAGGCTTTAAATGCTTAAGCTTCATATAATACAGTTTTAGAAAGCCAATACGGGTATCACTGATAGAACTCTAGTGACGCTTAAACCTTGTATCAAGTTTCTATCGATTTCTGCTATAACAACCAACCATTTAATTTTATATTATTATATAAAGAATAAACAAATCCATAATTCGCGTTTTGTGCTAATTTTCCCTAGAAGTTTCTTCGTCAACATGTTTGCACTGGAATCGAAAAGCGAATTTACTTACTGTGTACTTTACCAAATTTACTCGATACGTGGTTTGCAGTAAACAGGTCCATTGGAGGTTTACGAAATGAATCAAGTATTGAATATGGTTAGATCAATCCTTAAGAGTTTCACATTTCCGTCGCTGTTGATGCAAAGAAGCAACGTCTAAGCTATAAAGTAAATTCTGTATGCATATTGCATTTAAATGGCGATGGATGGCGTAGATCGGCAAATCAATAGATGAATGAATCGGTTTGTATTTTCTTTGTGAAAAACTACAGATCAGGGATGGTTGCTTTAAGTTTCACCAACTATATACGCTACAGAATCTCTGCAAACAAAGCTATTGGCAAAATTAGAGCTGGGTGTAGTACTTAGTGCTGGTATACCGTAAAGGAAAATGCTCTTTCAATGGAAATATTAAGGGAAAGGAAAGATAACTCAATAAATTCCACTATTTTTAAGCTAATAGCTAATAGAAATTTCATTGACAAATCTACCCATACAATTTTCCCTGGAGCGGTAGTGAAAAGACCCGCCCGACAACAATAATTGACTCGCTTATTTAATACCAACAGATTTTATCAATGATAGCTACTTCACGATTTTATAATTTGGAATATTTAATTTTACAAAAAATCGGCAAACATTACTCATGATGTACTTCACCCGATGAGGGCCCAGGCAGCGATACACTCCTAAGCTAATCGAAACTACATTGTCGTACAATTTCTTCAAATTTTTTACATATATTTAACATATAGCTAACTCTGGTTTACAATAGCCCTCAGCGTTGTTGGCTTATCCAATATTGTAAACTTCAAAAATGATCATCATCATCCCTCGACGTTTAATATTTTAAGTTTATCTTGTGTCGAGTTGTCAAAGACGATAAAATTGCGGTTCAGTTCTTCAGCTGAGAACATATTATGCTGCCTAATTTAATATGTGCAGTAGTTTCGATGCTAAAACTACACAAAGAAGGCCTAGTTCGTTCGCTAGGTAGCTGGGGCCTATTAGAACACTATCGATGCACAATCTAAAGAGAGAAAGTAGAGTCCTGGCATTTGTAATGTATTATGCGGCTTAAGCTACCACTAGCTATCGATTTGCACCGTGTTTGTAACACTACTGGTTATCTATTTGACCTACAGGACAAACAGGATGGCGAGGTCGAAATTGTAGAGACGATTCGTTTGGTGTGCGAAGACTTTCCCGAGATCAAAACGGCTCTGGAAAATCACGTACTCAACGAGTACGATCCTCGAGATTACGATAGTATGCGCTCGCTATGCGAACGCTTCAACAAAGCGATCGACTCGGTGCTCAAGATATGGAAAGGTACATCAATGCGGAAGGCGACGCGACCATCGCTTAGTCTTCTCAGGCACATTATCCTTAAGGTGTATAACCAGTCGGTCCTCGATCCCGATCGACTCAACATGTACGAACCATTCTCGCCGGAAGTGTACGGTGAGACGTCATTCGACTTCGTCGCCCAGATGACACAGGAGACGGACTTCGACGATGATACAATTTTCGTCGATCTGGGTTCAGGTGTCGGTCAGGTGGTCCTACAGGTGGCAGCAATGACCCAGGTGAAGCAATGTATCGGCATCGAAAAGGCGGAAACACCGAACCATTACGCCGAACGAATGGACAAGAACTTTCGGTTTTGGATGCGATGGTATGGCAAGTCATACTCCGACTACGAGCTCATTCGGGGCGACTTTCTATCGGCGGAGAATCGACATCTCATTGAGAATGCCTCGATCGTGTTTGCTAATAATTTTGCATTCGGACCAACTGTTGATCATCAGCTAAAGCAGCTATTCCAGGAGATGCGCGATGGTTCTCGGATCATATCGTCCCGTGCCTTTTGCCCGCTGCAGTTTCGTCTAACCGACCGAACGCTGTCGGACATCGGGGCCATGCTGCACGTTCGCGAGGTTCAACCCAAGAAGGGGTCCGTGTCGTGGACAGGAAAACCCGTCTCCTACTACCTGCACTGCATCGATCGAACCAAACTGCAGAGGTGAGAGATGACATCTTATGGGATAAACAACGACATGATTATATAGTAATACATAAAGAGAATTCCTTTAGGTTATCAATAGATATAAATGAAAGGTCCAAAAACAAAACCAAATGGTTTAAGGCAATACTCGTTTAGCTCGAATAACTTGCACTGTATTTACGTATAATAGTTTATAAATTGAAATCACTGTATCAGCGTACGTAGTTATTGCTATGTTTACAGTATATAAATATTACTCGCTATATTTAGTAACTGAATAGTAAACGAAAAGAATTAAGCAATTTGTTTTGGGTACTCACTGCTTATACTAATGTTCTACATAGCAGATCTCATGCTGGGTGGGTGTTCTATGTATAGAGATGTAACGCAGCTTGTTGGTTTTGCTATCAAACACAAAAAGCATACTTTCTTCACTAGGGGTACTATATTTTCCGATGAAGCTAGTAAATCTCTTTTGATTGGACAATCGCTTTACTAGCTGATGTCTGTGCCCAGCGCACAGGACGCAGAAACGCACAGGTCGTTCTTGTTTTAAGCACCTGTGGATGTTGTTGACGGCAATAAGTGAGGTATAAAGAATACGTTGTAAACGGCATTAAAATGTTCATCCTAACTACTTCGCATGTTAATAAGATTTAATTTTTAGTTTCATAACAAACAGTCTCCATATTTTCAATGTATTGTAACACAATGCTAACAAAAAATATCGACCGTTAGCAGCCTGGTGATGGCACCTAGAAGAAAGGACGTCTTTGATTTCAACCTCCAATGCTTTCGTTGATTATTATATTACATATAACACTTGTAGTTGATGTGTTGTGTGGTCATTAAATAGCCGCTTATTGATACCTGGCCATAATGAAACACACACAGGCGTCATACGGAATAGGTGATATTGTGCACGCGGGTTTATGCTGGCCTCGAATGGTCGTATCATGACTTCTAAAACATTTGGTTAGTGCGTTGATTGAATAGACAACTGACTCGCTAGCTATATTTATGCATTAAGCGAATTGTGAATGATCGGTGGTCGGCAACAGCCTTATTAACCTAAGTTTTCTGTGATCGGTACCTCCTCTGCACTGTCAAACCACATGTGCAACGTATCTCAACAGGTACTTTGAAAGTAAGAAAAATTCGACGCTAGAGGAGAACGGAGCTAACGGGAAGCGTCGAAGAAATATGGTTAACTACAATATGGAGTCATCTAACGGAAGTCTATTTGACGAAGATTCGGAAGTATTTGGGCCGACCACGCGAAGGGCCTGGACAGAATGGGTACGTAGGTATAGATATGTTAGATAAACATTATAAGAATTTGGACAGACAGGGCGCACATATTTGCAGCGAATTACAGTAACATGTAGGTATTGCCGACATGGTCCGCTAAATGTACTGATTCGTCTTTGATCGCATAAAACGAATTTTTTAGGGGTATACTGTCTTGTGCAACGTTACTGCTAGGATTCTTTATTCCATCGATAAAACACTGACGTATTTTTGGCCTATTTCGAACGGACCTATAATAATCCTAGCTTATGGTGCATGGTTTTCTCTCTCCCTCGAACGTACTTGTAGATCAAGAATACGCGGGGGTTCAAGAGTTCGAATGGCAACAATTCGTCAGGCCATGACGATGAGGAGGAGCCACCTGCGAAGAGGGCACCAGGACGGCGAGGCCGAAGGCCCGCTGGACAACAGCCCGCATCGGTTAGTGCTACAGTTAATCAAGGACTGCTTGCAAACAAGCCGAAGCCTCGTGGCCGGCCACGTGGCACGCAGAAGCGAAACGCGGGCGGTCGCGGTGGACCGGGTGGTTCAAGCAAATACTCCAGCAGTCTCGACACGCTGCATTCGCATACATTGTTATCAACCATGCAACAACAGGAGGGATTAAGTCCTCCGCCTGGCTGCGTTGAAGCCAAACTCGACAACTCAGACGACGAGTCAAGCTCGCCCGCGGAAGATATTGTGCGAGGTCGTATGAGTCCGCCCGTACTCCATCATCACCTACTCAATGAGAATACCAAGCCTCTAACAGACCATAATCAGCACGAGAATAGCACACTTGAGATATGTCGCGGTCGATCAAGCCGGAACCGTAACCATTCGACAACATCTGACGATCTCGCTCAGCACGAAGCTTCGTGCGGTGGGGGCGTTTTGACCAATTCGCTAGTGAGTGTTCATTCGATCTAATAGAAATTCATGTTGATTCATGTTTGACTGGTTAATTTAAGAAGATGGTTTTTGTGGCCCAACTGTTTTAATGCTCATTTAAGCCATAAATCTTAAAAGTGACCAAACGTTCTTCATCGAACTCAAATGTCATAATAACTAATATTTATATATGACTAACGTTTGATCTTCTATGGGAATATATACATACAATTCTATAGCTGCTAAGCGCAAGTATCGGTTTCCATCGCTTTCAATTTAATTCAACTCAATCTTCCCCGAATATCATTCTGTGCCAATTTTCTCTACACACAGACTGAACCACACGAATCGCATAGCATCATAAACACGAAAGCACATAAGCAAATTTTTTCACGTCATAATCTCTTATTCACCTCCGAAATACATAATGTGTTTGGTTTAGTACGATGAGGACTACCACGAAGAACTGGAGCTTCTACTGGACCGCATGCGGCAAGACTACATCTACTTGATCCGCCGCTTTAAGGAGGATAGCATGCTGCAGGAGCTGCGTACAGAAATTGAAAAGGAGCGCGAACGGCAAAAAAAGCTACTTACCAAGAAGGATCAGCTGGATCGGCAGGTGAAGACCCTCCTTGAAGACAGCGTCACGCTACTAAAAGCACGCATGTGTGAGCTAGATATTGAAGTGTCCGCACCTTCGCAGCTATTAGCCAAAGCCAAGGAGATTGTCCTTCGTCATAAAGAGCTGCAGGCTCGAAGCAGCAGCCTTGATCGTGACGTCGCCTTTTTCGAGGAACAGCAACGAAACTTGATTCTTGTGCGTCAACAACATCAGGTACATACAGATAATTTATGTCGATTTCGTGTGATAACCCTTAGTAAACGTCTATTATACAGAGACAAAGAAACGAGGAGTCATATAGTGTTAATGGGAGTGCATAGAGATTATTTGAGAAGAAAATCGGCGTTTGATATAGATCCTTTTATTTGGTATGATTACACTGTATTCGCTTGAGCAGTTACCTACCAACATAATCAGGCCCACGCACGCAGGAAAAATATTGGAATGAAATAATTAGTATATACAGGTTCAAAGTGACAAGATAACGTATTGTTGCGCGTTTTAGTTCACTTTCGGGTTATTATAAAAATAGATTGTTATAGGAATAAAGCAAAATAGGCAACGCAATAATCGTTGCTTTGCCTGGAACATTGTCTTAATTTAAATAGCGAGAGATTATTCGGCCTCAGCCCTACGTTTGGTTTGCTGAGATTTTGTGTAGCCATATATAATCCAGTAATTGTGAAGCGTGACGTCATATCTTGATGTTTGTGTTGCCTGTGTCTCTCTAGATGATGACAACAGGAACATCACTAAGTCGGGAGCAACTTCTGAAAGAAGTTGCCTCAACGATGTGCCACCGTAAGAAACCACCAACTCCGGCTGGCACGAATGTTACTGGAAACAGCAGTGGAATTAAAATGGAACCCGCCAATGGGGAGGATGGCTTGGAACTCGGGAACGGCAGACAACACTCTGCAAAGGTCAGATGCGTTCGTTTTTGTACATTGTAGAAATGAGGTGAAATCAATAACAACCCGAGAAAATTAGAGAGAAAACAGTGATCTAATTTTAATAAATATACACACATGTCCAGATTTAAACAGAGTGAACATAATAATAATAATACGCATCTTGCATTCAACACGTCTACAGCAAAATTGCAAAACTTATTTATTTCGTTCAGCAAACCATTGTGCATCATACACTGTGCGTTGCCGTATACCTTAACCAACATGATGTTGTTAACTATTCAATCTGACTTTCTGTGCGTTTTTGTTTATTAGACGGATTGTGGCTTGTCTCACATGGGGAGCAACTTAACATCGCCACGGGGTCCCGCCTCGTCAATTGTCGGCGCTTCGCCTAGGCATACAACACCACAATCCCCTGCACCTTCCGTCCATCCAGGTGCTTCCCATCAGAATACAGTCGGCAGTAATACACCTGCCAGCAGCCACTCCACTCCGGCTTCACAGCATCACGTGTCGCCGGCTCAGCAGCAACAGCAATCAGCAACTGTCCCTGTTGGTCCTGTGCCTTCCTCGCAGGCGCCGCCCGCAGGCAGCGCTTCTCATCATAATTCCACTCCTCAGTCAGGTCATCATCAACAGCAAGGTTTGTGTAAGGATGCCCGAAATGTGGGCCATCATTGGGATATTCATCCATGAGCAGGCTGTTTTAATATCGCTGAACCTTCCTTTTTTCTCAAAAAAAATACGCTAATTAATCGACCTATGATCCGTACATTTTACTTATTTTGTTTTTATGGAAAGGTCGGCTCACTCCACTAACAAGCATACCAAAAATCGGACACATAAAATTATATTAAGATATATATCAAAAAAAGACACGTAAGTTGATTAAAAATGTATTCGAAGTTAACCGACACATACAGTTTTATCGGTTAGAACAGCAAACGTTGAGCATTTAACTGCACTCTGTAAATTCCTAAAGGCTAATCTGTTCAGTAAATTGAAAAAACTACCTCTAAACGTGCTTTATCTAATTGCCCTACATTTTATCACACGTATAGGTAATTTGGTGTTGAATCTCGGCTCGCTGCTCAAAAACTCGCCGCAACATTCTGGTCACACAGGCGGCTCGCATGGCCACAGCCAGCATGGCCCATTAGCGTCAGGCAGCGGTGGCGGAAGCGGAAACAGTGGCCACCGAGAAAACAGCTCTTCCCAGGGTGGCCCTTTTTCTGGTCTAAGCACCGTCTGTAACAGTGCGAACAGCGGTGGCCCCGTCAGTGGAGTGGGTAGTAGTAGCAGTTCGAGTGGGAGCAGCAGTAAGAAGCAGAAAAGGAAGCACTCGCAGGATTCGCACAAGTCCAAAAGCAGCTCATCCTCCTCAATCGCGGCAGCAGCTGCGGCCGTTGCTGCTGCCAACGTTGCCAGCGAACCAGGGGTCGGTTCGGGCTTGGCTGGAGGAAATTCAGGCCATACGGCGTTATTGGCCACCAGCAGCTCGGGAGCTACCGGACCCAATTCGGGCGAACTCGGCTCATCCTCGCATGTCAGTAGCGGCAGCGCTGCTGTTACGTCATCGACGTCAGCTTCTGCTGGACGGACGTCCAGTTCGTCGTCCGGCTCCAAGCAGCAGAGTGGTTTCTCGTCCCATTCGTCGAGTCATTCTCATAGTAGCCGTGGCGATCAGCAACAGACTGGTGAGGAGAAGAAGAAATGGGTCGTCGATACCCAAGGTGAGCAAGTCACTACGACCATCTGCTGGCTGATCATATTGACGATGGTGATCACGGCGGCGATAACCTCAGCAAATATGGAGAGATCACTTTTTGTGTTTACTTTTTAATGAGAAATCACTGTTCTATCTGTACGCTCTATACGGCTATCTGTAATAATGTATACAAGGAGTATGTATATATGTGTGTGTGTGTGTGTGTAGCTGCATGCAAAACACAGAAGAAGGTAGTTTTACGGAAACACAGTGGGCCAAATCCAAATCAGCGCACTTTGTGTGGGCCAGCTAATAATGATGACGTTAAAATCAATATGATAAGGCCACTATAACTACACCGTTGGTCATTAAGTAATTCGAAAAGCAAGAGCCTCCATGACCACGAAGGAAAGGCCTCACTGCTGAAAAGTGCCGTTCAGTTATTAGTTCCTTACACAACTATAATTTTTCAGTTTCTTCTAAAAAACCAAGTATTCGTATAGTCCAACAACGCTAGTCGCATGTGTTGCTGATTTTTAATCTAATTTGAGGTGAGGACGCAGTAAATCACTTAAATTTGTTAGCAATGCTATAAGCATCAAGTCTTGAATGCTTGTCTTCAAAGCTTCATATGAATCGTGCGAGATCCTGTTTCTTTGAATTCGAAATGACCATCAGAAAATGGATGAAGTTTGTTTTTTATTTTGATGAATTAGAATAGATAGGTTTAATATTGAAATGTTATGACTAGAAGATCTGTAGATCTGTACGATTTCCTCAACTTGTTACGCGTGTGTGATCATTAGTTGAAGTTGTTCGCCGTTAACTTTTTTTTTTTCGGTCAGCGCGTCAGATTTGAGCGGTATTGTCAGTATTTCACAGGGCAAAGGGTAAGCTAATTAGTAAGCTGTATTGGACTGATGTACATTTTTTGCTGATCTTAGGCATGATGATAAAATCTGACTGCATCTGCGCTTATGTGATCCCTAACGTGTACGATCCTTTATGCATCGTTAAAAAAAGCCTTAATATATGTGCAAATCAAAACGCTCTATCCCTTCGAATCTGTCAAATTTCAGGAAGTGGAGGTGTCTCAATTAAAATTAAAGCAATCCCTCCGAAAAGTCCACCTCGGGCTCAGAGTCCGGAGAATCCACCTCAGTCGCCATCACGAAGTTCCAGTTCGTCTGATGGTTCGTCATACGCTCATCGACACAAGAAGTTCCGCGAGAAGCGGCACCATCATAAGAAGTTCTCTCGGCCAAGTTCACCTGTATCGACACCAACACCGCCGATGCCAACGGGCCCACCCGGCCCGGTGGTAACCCCTCCCGCAGCCTCTCTTATCCCTACAGTTGATAATAACAATACTAGCCAAGGTCAAACTGCGCTTCCTCCGGCTCAACAGGTCGCCGTACAACAGCTGACTCAACAACAGCCTGCTCCACCACCTCCAGAGCGGTCTTCAAGCGGACAACATCAGCAAACATCAGCTGCCCACCCACTAAACCCAAGCCAGCAGGCGCCGTCCCAGCATCAATCGGTGCATTTATCCCAGCAACAACAGCAGCAGTCAATGACGGGTGCACCGCCAACTGCGCATCAATCAGCCACTTGTGGCCTGCACGGACCACCCAGCGCACACACAGGTGTTGGCAGTCCCCACCAGGGTTCCTTACAAACATCTCGGGTGGCACCGTCTCCCACTGCTGGAACGACGACGGTCACTAGTGGCACGGGAAGCGCCTCATCCGCGTCGCCAACGGTCTCTTCGTCATCAACCCGGGTTGGTTCTGGCGTTTCGACGGCCCAGGTAAACAGTCACCATGCAGCAATTACTGCACCAGCGGCCGCTGCGGCAGCAATGGGTCGTGTCCCGCCGCCGTCCCATGGACGAGCTGCTGGCGCTGGGGGTATTCACGGAGTTCATGGAACAGCTGGTGCCGTCGCCGGTGCTGCGAGTGGCAACCTTCGGCCGTCGGGGGTGCAACATCCCTCGGTTGTTGGTGGAGGCGGTGGTTCGGCAACGACAGGGGGGCCAGGATCGGTCCATTCCCGAGGCAACGCTAGCAGTAGTGGTGTTAGAAGTCCGGCGGGAACCGGACTTCCCAGAGCAGCAGGTGCAACACACCATCCCCATGCTACAGGTCCCCCTCACGTTGGTCAACCACCGCATCATCACGGTGCGGCCAGCCACGGCCATAGCCATACGCCAAGCTACTCCGCGCACGCTGCAGCTCACCACTCGTCAACGGCTGGCGCCGGTGGAGGCGGCCTATTCGGCCAGGGGGGCGCAGGTCCACCCCAGCACGGTCACGGAACACACGGCGGAATGCCACCAAATGCTGCCAACTTCGCCCCGCCCCATACACAGTTCACGCCCACCATGTCGCCTAGCACCCTATATCCGCCTCATGCACCGCCTGCTCCCCACCCCTATTATAGATCCATGTACTCGACTCATCGACAATAAATGGATAGATGTATACGTAAACAATACTATTATTGCATACATGCCTAAACATACAAAACATACATGGTTATAAAAAACCAAACATGGAACAGGGACCGAATCGTCGTTATTACATGAATGTATAGTCAGACACAGAGCCGTACAAATAAATTCACATTCATACAGATACACACGCAAGAACAAACAAATAGAAATGGTCACCTTTCGGTGATTATTTATTAATTTTGATGATGATGATGATGATAGATATACGTTATAAAATGACGGTGTCGTTTTCGTTTTTCTTAGTTGTTTTGCTCCGTACAGCTACTTTTAGTTGTTTGTTGACCTGTTTGTCTTTGTACAGAGAAGCTTGTACGAAGAGAGAAGACGAATCACATTACATACTTATTATGTGACCTACATATATTCACTGTCTTAATATAGAACACTGTTGTAAATATATTTAGACGATATATATCTTGTTTTTTTTTTGCATAGATCGTAGCGCGCCTACGCATGCATCGCTGAACTGAAAACGCATCGTTGTGTTACAAAAGAAACTACAAGATGCATCCTCGGCAATAGGTGGACGCTGATAACAAACGAATGGCAATACAATGTCGTCGTTTCATTACTATTTATTGTAACTATAGCCTTAATGGAACTTGTGAGCTTTCTTTTGTCAGGCTACTAATGCATAAATTACTTCAAAACTTTCACACGTACAGGAGTAATTCACATCACTTCGACCACTGTGGCCGAGGTACATGCAATACCATCCAGCAGCATTGAAAGCCTTTGGTACTTCAAGCAAATTCAACATAACTTATTTGGCGACGAAACAGTGCAAGAGTTTGTTGTCATTGCTGTTCTTTTTTTTGTGAGCTTTTGTTCTTGTATACCACCTTTATGTGCCTTTAGACATTTTGACAAAGAAAAACCCTTTTAACTGTATACTGTTTCGTTGTCGAAAAAAAAATCGAAACCTCCCACACATAAAAGGTCTTGAAAACATTATTTTAAACACACTCCGTATTTTGTACAGATATTGCCGTTATCGTACGTATGGTCTCATTGACTTTCCGCTATTTCACGCCGTTCGCCTGTCGCAAATTTTCGAAAAAAAAAAAACTTTTTGCTTAGCTACACAAACACAAATAGATGCACATCTAAGTAAACAATTAACTTTATCAACAGTACCGCAGTATACAAAACAAAGCAATAACGAGCGAGTCTGAGAAAAGTAAAGGCGAGTGTGAGAGCAAAACAAGCGTGTAGTGATGATGTAAAAACGGCGAACGATACGGTTGGTGCTTGATGCGGCTCTACTCCAGAGGAGATGTCGCACCAACTCATAAAGGCATATGGTGGACATGAGCTACTGTGGGGCGTTAGTTTGAGTGAACGGCAATCTGAGTGCGAAGTGATGAAAGCGGTGAGAAATGACACAGTTAGATAAACAACTGAGAAAGCAATGCAAGGAACACTCCCCAGAACGGAAACTCCATCTTGAATTGAGCGCCCATCGATATTTGTAGATTCTCTCAAACGACTCGAAAACAAGAAATGTTACCTGAATGGTTTAATCATTGGTCGAACGTAGTAGAGAAGAGAAAGCGCCTGGACATAAGTATTTTTTTATTACCTTTTTGTGTTATTAATATACATTTGTATATGTGTGTGTGTTCGCTTAGCTTCCATATGTGTGCTTAACAGACACTCCGCATATGCCCTAAGGGTTCTGATTTTGGATATTCTACTCTTGGTCTTGAATAGATTTCGTCATTTAAAAAGTTGTTGTTACAATTATTATTACAGCTCCTAGTATGAGTACAGTGACTACTATTTCACTGCTCATCTAGTTAAATTTGTTCGGTTATTTTCCGTCCTTGTTTCTCTGCTTCACGCTTTCTCGTTGTATTTTTACTACCCACTAGCAATTTAGGAATCAACCCAACGCCGTTAGTAAACCATTCCACTCGTTCCCCCTAAGTGTTACGTCGTTAAAGAGAAAAGTCGTCATAATCAGGCATATATATGATGACGCTTGTCTATAACGACTTGATAATTGATGAGGACAAGTGAAATGTCTTTATTATGAGGTGCTTGGTTGACCCCTACACTGCTGGCTAGTGGCAAAAATAAGACGAGTGAACACGAAAAAAACGACCGGGAAAAATGATCGAAGAAAGATACGGGCCCGCTATATTGTTCGCCAAAGTGAAAATTAAACAAAAATAATTGATTCAGCCAGAACACAATTTTCTCAAACAAATACGACGCAAGGTAGCCGACTAACTGCAACATACTTGCAATATTATTCACAGATGCAATCACATCTGTGAATAATATTACGGCGGCGTCGAAGGTCTGTCTCTGTTCGCCTAAATCTGGTGCCTGTGACCTACCTGTATTGGACTGCCAGTTTTTTCATTAACTCATTATTAACCTGATTGTACAGCGGTGATCGATGTCACTATTATAGCTGTTTTCATTCCATAAGTGCGTCTTTTTATTTTCATTTCTCATCGTCAACCAACCCACGTATATTCAATATTAGAAACAGAGATAAAGACAAATAAGATATACATACATATGTATTTACATGAGTGTGTATATGCATGTAAATCAAATGTATTTAGAAGAAAACAACTTTGAATGTGTAGTGATCTATAATTATTATGGCGCCGCCCCCCTTACACGTTCTCTCGTTAGGTTTGTCCGTCTGTGGGGCTAATACGACGTCACGTCAAGCGTGAAAATGCTGGTCGGATGTTGCAGTTACTTTGCCACCATCTTGAACAAAACCGCACGAAGACAGATTTGTTGACCCTATACGCTGGGCAATATCTCATGACCAAACCGCGTTCTAGATTAATATTGTCTCGAGCACTTGGAGTGGCTTAAAAAGATGCGTGTTTCGCGAGCGGGGGTCAGACAGATTAGCGTTTTAGCCAGATTTAGCTCCTCGCTATGCGATGAATGCTATAGAAAGATGAGATTGATTGTCACGGATAAGCTACTATTGTCTAGTTGAATGAAAGAAAAGTGGAGAACTCTCTTCTTTGGGAACCGCCGTAGTGATATGATGACGTCAAAGAAAACGAATAATGGATCTAAACCGATGACGAGGCTGGATAATAATAACAATCGTGTGTGTAAGTCATTCAATCGTCAAGATTATTATTATTATTATTATACAACTGTACTATTAACACACGAGGGTACATCAGTAAGTTGCACGAACGTAGATTTGAATACCGCTTATACATTTCATTACTGCCCATCTACCAGCGTTATGAGAGCTGGGAAAAGCATGCGTGGAGCGTTAGTGTGCCGATGGCTAATAGATCGCGGATTATAATGTACGAAGGGAAGGCCGATCAGGTGTCTGGTCCAATTGTAGCACCATTGCGTGTGCGAGTTTATAATGGATTTCGGTTTTAGCAATCGAAAATTCAAGGTGACAGCTGTTAGATGTAACTGGAAAACATACACAAGCTCCAGTGTAAAGTCGTTTGACCGCCGATGATTTAGTTTGTCTAATTGTGATTCATCAATCAAACAAACAACAACAACAACTAATCAGTCGGGCAGTGTTGAACACATAAAATAGGGGCATTCAGAAAGTTAAAAATTCGCAAGAAACAAAACAATAATTGAGATTTTATTAGAAAAAGCAACTGTCGATGCGTAACCGATTGGCTAATGCAGACGAATAAACCATTGGCTTTTCTCGTGCACATTTCCACTAAGACTAGGCGTAAGCAGAAAGAGACATAACAAAGCAATATTAGGGTCCAGTTTTCCCCTTGTGTCTGATGCAACACAAGATGAGAATTAAGCTCATAGAGGCCGTGATATAGAACAGAGCGTTTTAGGAAGGGAGGACAGGTCATCGTGGATGTATCTGTAACTGGCTAGGGCCTTCTCGTGCGCAAACTGAAATTGGCGGTCGGAATGATCACTACACGATTATGATTGGAAGCAGGTTACGTAGAAAGCCGTAATGTAGAACGACTTAGTGTAATGTTTTGCAGTAATAATATATAATAGGAATAATTATAGAACGTAATGGTGACGATGATGGTTGCTGGTAATTGAGTAACTGGACCCGTTATCAATCCACTCACGAACAATAGACGATAGTCTTTTCGGCAGACTGGGAGGTTCTGCTACTGAAATCGAAGACTGGTGACATGGAATATAGAGCATAGAGTTATGAGAACAGGAGCACTCTCGCAGAAGCAAGATAATGGGATAAGACAGTAGACGACTGATGTTGTAATGGATCATCACAGTAATAACAACAGTAATCACATTAATGACTATAAACTATGGGGATCTGAATGAAACGATGCAAAAGGTAACGAGAACAATGAAGTGAGTGTACACGTTAACTGGAGTAATGAGGAAAGGATGTCTGTTGCGAGGGAGTGTTTGTCCGGATGTAAAAATGTGTCTGGAAGACAATGGAAAGCTTGTGACAAAAATAGTGTTGTCCAGTTGAGCTAACGAGTAAGAGGGCCAAGATAGTTCCGGGCCTTGAAGTGTAAACACGATAATCCGATTTTTTTTATAATTACAACCCGTTCTCGTGACAGGAGGAGCTATTGCATGTGTTGCAAATCACCAAATATGCCAGCAGCGTCCTCGATCATTGGACGTTGTTTCGACATATATCTGACAAAGTTTCTACCAAAAGTATGATGCTAAGAATACTTAAGATCGTGTAAAATTATGACAGAAATGACTTCAGCTCAAGTGCAAAAAGGCCGAAAATAAATCATAACGGCAGCAGATGTCAGGGCGAACTGGGGAAAAGGGTTAGGATATTTGAGTGTGACAGATCTCGCAATGTGTTAGCACCATTAATTATTATACTTATGAACGGTAGTACTAGTAGTAGTGTGCGGTTAAATACGCTACGTGAAAACGAACATTCTAATGTAACGTAATTATCATGTACTGTACATACTTTACATAAATATATATACATAGTAACAATGACAACATGTAATAGCTATTATTATTTTATATATATATATATATATATATATATATAGACGATGAAGTATATTCTTCGTTTTTCGCCGGTGACCAACTCTGCAAAACCTAATGGCTATGTGTGACAATGAGTGCATAACTATTATTATATTACTGCCAATATTATCGTTTGTTAGCGATCAAGTGTATAATCGCTATATGCCGTATGCATTATACAATTGAAGATCTACTACATAGCATATGTTAATGCGTTCATTGACGACTCCACATGAGTGTATATCCTAGCGTCAGAAATGAAGATCATAGGACTCGTCGCTAACGGCGACATAAGAAAGAAAAGAATGCTTTGGTTTTTCGATCATTTTTTTTTTTTTATAAGATGACTTTACAACGGAAATCTGTAAAATATGAGTAGGGTTATTATTGCTATGAACTATTGCTGCTAGTATATAATATTGTAAAACGAAATAGACGTTAAAGGAAAATCGCGGTCAGCGTCTCGTTTGCCCAGATTGTTGAAGAGAGCGCGTGCGAGAGAGAGAGCGAAATATGGGAAAGCGTAAAGCGTCTCACTAACAGTAGATGATGTCCTTGAAGCAGGGAATAAGAAATCTCTGCATGAGAACGGTATAAGCGACTGGTTGCGTAAACATGCTCATAGTCTAATACACTTTCGGACCACGACTGCGATGTATGTATAGCAACTGTGATTTAAGATTTAAGATAAGAACTGATGCAGACGGGAATCAGAAACGACGACCGGCAACTAAAGATAGCCTAAACGCTGTTGGATAGTAGATAGCTGAAACAAACGCTTTGCCATTCGAAGTTATACAATCACAATCGTGCGGAGCTGTGTTACAGTCATATCGTACCCGACCATTTACAAGAATAGTCCACAAGTGATTTTCGAAGCAGTGATGATCATTTCCAGTTCCCCATGAATCAAATCGGGCTATGGTTGATTCGACAGGAATCAGCGCCTTCAATACAGCCACATAGTCAACTTGCTCTCCATTAGCTCTGTCGATCTCTTACGATGGACCTACTACGGTCCATGACTGACGCTATTCACCACGTATCATTGAGTCCAAATTCCTCATGTATCGTTTATCTATCGAAAAGTCTAGTGCAACGGACCTCTGGAAGCAGCATCTGCAAATGGCATTATTGAGCACTATTTGCTCTGTTCTCGCTCATCGGACTGTGGAAAAGTAATGCTATCCACATACCCCCCTGCCATTGGAGGCACCTTCAATCCGATAAATTTCTGCTCCGCGCCTGTTAATTGGACCCGCTTTTAATCTATGGCTATAACAGACAAAGCTACAGCAGCCCAGTATTGGTTAAATGTTTACATCGAGTTATATACAATCCGGTCAAGTGAAATTTCCTTTTATTATATGCTACAGACAGAGGAACTATGACAAATGCTAGAGGCAACGCCGTCCCTGTAATTTCACTATGGTTGCCATCACGGCGTGACATTCAAAACATAATAAGTCATCATACAGCAAGAGCAAGCGAGAAAATTATAACTACTATAACTGTGAGAAAATAATAATATTATACTAAAAAAAAACTAATTAAATACTATAGTAATACTATAATAATATTTAGTAGAAATAACGAATTCATAAGTGACGGTCGCACGGCGTTATAGGTGCGAAATAACTTATGTTCGGTGGATTTTCTGAGAGGGCGTGTATGTGCGTGTGTCGGGATATAAAGTTAATGTATAAAAAGGAACGAACGGACCTGTTAGCATAGGGCAGCAAAGACCAAGACAACCACTTCGTATTCGGCCTGCTGTCATGCCAACACGACAAAGAGCTATGTATTAGGATACAGTGCAAATAGGACAAATTAAATTCACAACAAATTAACTTGTGATTAATGAGGAGGAAGCAGACATTGAGAAAATGAGATTTAAGAAATTTGTACCGCAGTTGCACTTAAATCACACATAAGCCAATTAACATTGTTTTAACAGAATGTTGAGAGGAAACTCGAATGACAAATGGTACCGAAAAAAAAACAGTTGACATTTACAAAAAAAAAAATTAAAACACAGGAAGTATTCGATGAGGCTAAATTCACTCAGTGAAGGTCTGTATTATCTCAAAGGTAGTTCCATATGGTACATCTGATCCAATACAAGTATCTCCACAAGGAATACTGCGGTGAAGCATTGAAACATTGCTCCTGGGCTCGAAGATGCAGCATTCGCCCTTGAGTGAAAAAATGGAAGCCACAGATCGGCGCAATTCAACCGACCGACTATTAAAGATTATATAAAGATGTATATCTATATTTCGCGGGTGGTAGATCGAAAACGAGTAGCGTACAATCGAAAGCGGCGTTAACGCTGGAAATTATGACAGTCACGAAACGACCGCTGCTAGTAATGGGTAACGGCAGAAATGACGCGAGAAATGCACAGGTTGACCAGATTAAGACGGAAAGCATTTGAAGTGATTGAAAGAGGTTTATTATTTTTACTATTATTATTATTATTATTATTATTATAATAAAGTAAGCAGATGAGAAACCAAAAAACTGATCATGCTTCAGAGCTAGGTATGGCAAACGAGGATACGCGTTTAAAACATAGGAGGAAAAAATAGTTCAGGTGTTTTTTTTTAGCCACAACGCTATTGCCGAGCTTATGAATCCGCCACGTGAAGTGCTACAGCTGGCTAAAGCGTTTGTTCGTAATACCGCTAGATGCTGCTTTCGTATCAAATTCACTGGAAGAAAATTATGTTTCAGTCTAGTTTAGAATACAATTGTAACCCAAATTGTCGAGTATTTACAATGATCTATTCACTTGAAATATGACAGTCATCATCCATTTTTGGGTGCGATTAGACAGCCCCAAGTCTTTGGGGATGTCTGTCTTTTTGTAATAAGATGAAGGGAGAATGAGATATTAACATTGGGACGGTCAGTGCTGGGAATGTTTTAGAAGTACGCTGCTCCGTCCGGTATAATAGAAGCCACAAAGATTTCGGTAAGTACATCTAAAAATTTACTTTTGTTGTTGAAACACTTAATGCAACTACAACAGGTCACCATCTATGGCCTTTTTCATTGGCCTACTGGCTGGTGTTTCGGGCTATGTCCAGGATGTCAAAGTCCGCCAAACGAGCACATACAGCGTCATAAAGTCTAGAGTGCGTACAGCATGTATAGCCCAAAAACCTAATCATTACTATATTTTTTCACTGGCGTTACAGCCTCGATTTTATCTAATCAGTAATTATAGGGATAGACGAGGGTTACGATGTTTGTGTCCACGTTACCCTCCGAGTGCTATAACAAGCTCTTGACGACGAACGAAATTGCCTAGAAAACGAGAACTGTAATAAATTCTTGATGGTGCCAACGATAATGGCATACAGCGCAATACAGACAACTAAGTGAAGGACGTTGCGCTTCTTGTTTTGTGTGTGGCAGGCTTTGCCAACGAGGAAAACAAGTAATCCTCAAATACATTTACGGTGACTACTCGATGGTTCACCGTTGAACACTTCGCGTAAACGCCTTGGTAGTAATCAATAGAAACACCACGGACAGGTACATCTCCGAATATTACACACTGACTGCGCGATCGTTGTGTACAAAACCCTGCTCTTATATATAAATGAAAGGTAGTCATTAGCTTAGATCGGTAGTCCGTAATGAACCAACGTAACCTGCAAACATTGTACCAGGATTTGATAAGAACAGCTGAGTCAAGCATTAAACATTGCCGTAGGTGTTTTAAGATCTATTGTATTTAAGAGTATACCTCTGTTCGTATTAACTGTCATCCTAGCAGCCTAGGC